AGGCTCGTGGGGGAACAGCACCATCGCAAACACATGTTTGTGCACACCAGCTGGCCCTACTGGCAGAAGGCAAGGCCTGCAATGTGTAGTGCCAGACGCTTTCACTTGCACAAAGAGGGGAAGAGAAGTCCTAGAAGTAGAGGCCATCAGATAATTCATTCTTCTTGAAAACGCCATGCTCTCAGCCACAGCGCCGGACAATGCCCTGAGGCGAGCGATGGGGCCTCTCCTTGCCTGCACTGGCGGTGCTGTGCAAAGCAGCCAAATTGGGCCAGATGAGAGCATTCCTGCACTGGCAGGCCAGTACTGGCTCAACCTGTATGATGTGCAGGTAGCGCTGTGCGAGCTCAGCAGATGGCTTCGGGGTGGTGGCAGCAGCAGCCGCCGCAGTCCAGAGCAAGCATTTGCACTGAAGCGTGGACAGACAACGGAGTGTGAAGTGGAAGCCGGGAATCCACAATGACTCACGGGGATTAGGGGGAGCCGTTGGTGAGGGAATGTATAAGGGTACGTCGGAATACTGGTGAATCTGTATATCTGTATATATGTATACATTGGGTGTCCAACTGGGGGACCACAAACGAACATACTATCATATTTGTTTTCTTGTGCTTTCACGTTTCTGATGGACAAAATCATGCACAGCTCCTAGGATTTGTTTGGTCTACAGGGCCATGCAGGTTAAGCCACTCAGCCGTATTTCTGGGCTCGGATCTGGTCATCCGCAGTCTTTCATGCTTATGAGCAGCGGTGTCACTATCATTGCCATGCCTAGTTGCTGTCTGTGAGTGGCATCTCTATGCTTGTACTAAGTTCGAAATTGCCTCTACACGTTTCTTATGTTCTCGCCGTCATTTGCGTTGCCATAGTTTGGGCATCACTATACATATTCAACACCCAAGATGCTTCAAAAAATCTCATGAGAAAAACCATCCTGAAGGATTGGCAATAAAGCAAGGGAAAGGGGCAGCCGGTGTTGAGGGGTTCAAAAGTGGGCTATTCTGAATCTTATGGGCCCCTTTGGGTGATTCACTTATATTACGGCACAAAATACTTAGGGGTACCAAAATGGGATCCTAATTTTGGGAACTGCCCAAGGAGAGCAGCATAAGGAGGCATGGAACAATTCATGGGAATCATTTTTAGCTCAGGTGTCTGAATGGCAGGTTCAAGCGGATATGATTTTTTTCATTTATTCTTCCGCGACCCCAAGCTGCGCGCCCTACCCTTCTTCACATCCCCAGGCCTGAAACCTTAAATCCTGAGGCTTAAGCCCTTCATCCCTACGCCTTGCACCCGCAGCCCTAAACCTGAAAAATCCTGGACTTTAAACGCTAAACCCGAAACCCTAAACCCTAAATCTTAACCCGGTCCAGAACCGGCCAGGCATTCCAGAAACAGCTTTTCGAGCTTGGGAGGTCGCACGGAGCAGGCAGTGCTTTCCTCGGAAATGGAAGGGAACCCCAACGTAGACTCAACATAGGGTTTAGGGTTAGCATAGGGACACGCGAATGGCACCCTTAATTTTGGGAAAGCCCCTTACATTTCCCGAAGGGCTTCCTGAGATATAGGATCGGTTGGGTCGCTTGCCCTTACAGGAATTGTCTTGAAAGGTGTTTTAGTAGGGAGCGTTTATGATTCCTAGTAACCCCCCCTAGTGTTATCTCGTATTGTATTGGGGAAGGACCTGCCGTACAAGTCTTAGTGAAAACGCGAAAATCACAATGCCGTTGATTAAGCTATTCAGTAGCTCAGCTTTCAATCTTTCAACCCCGAACTTCCCCGAGCTTTGCAGTGACTCGAAAACGCTGAAGCCTCAAAGCCGTGAATCCACCCAAACCAAGAAACCTTGAACACTGAACCAAAAACCCGAATCAAACGTCAAAACCTTCAGCCCGGACACCTTGAACGACACCCTGCGCATAGGTACCTATCAGGTGGATTACGAGGGAACCTCCACTCCCACTAAGGCAGACTACCCGAAACCGTAAACCCTTCAGGAGAATTCGACAGGAGCCCAGGGGTTCTAAAGGGTCTGTTCCTGTTTGGAGGCCACAAAACGCTAAGCCTTGAGCATGAGATGCACTTGCGGTTTCCTGGGGTCGGGGTGGGGCAGGGACTTAGTAAGTTTAGGGTTTAGGCTTCAGGGTTTAGGGCCAGGGGGACTTAGTAAGTATTCTTATAACGCAAATAAGCCATATACTAACCCCAGTTATCAAGATTATTATCCCAGTTCCTAAGTCCCAATGACCTTCCACTTATACCCATCAATCTAGGCATGGCCTAAACCTTGCACCGGTAAACCCCAACATGACCCCTCAACTCTTTTCACGGAAGTCCAGGGCCGATTCTCAACAATCCTCAAATCCGACACGTTCAACCTCAGACCTTCACCCCCCAAGTTTCAAAGGTGGGCAGATGTGATATCCCCCAGAATTTCAGGGCTCAAGGTTGAATAGTGGCAGGGGCCTGGAAGCTAGGTAGTTGAAGTTACCCCGAAACTTAAACTCTAAGCCCTACATAACGAAGACATTATCGGAGGCACGGCGCCTTTCCGGTCCGAGCTTGTGAAGTTGGTGTCGTGGACTTTAGGGTTTAGGGGTTAGTTCTTTTCGTGGCTTTAGAGTGAGTGCTTTGGGTTAAGGATTTGGAAGGATTATATGGGGTTCTTCATAGAGATTGTATGGCGACTTTACGATTTCAGTCCAGGCATGGATGACGTATTGTGGACACGGGATGGAAGGGGCGGACAAGGGTTTTCCGAATTTCCCGAGAGCTTTGAAAGTACGCTCACTGCTTATGTAGGGAGTTAAGGAATGGAATACGGCTATTTCTATTGGGGTTCCATGGCGCTACTACGGAATCCCACTCCCCCATTCCCTATTAACCACCAGGTAGTAAGTCGTGGGCATCTTCAGGTAGAAGCAGTAGAACCTTGCAGTCCGGAAATTCTAATGCCGGGTCCGATCGAGCTAGAGTAAAGCCGACAGAACCCTAAACCGTAAACCTGAGCATTTTGGCCCTACACATCTTATAGATGTTTCCTTCATCTTTTCCATTCAGCCCCAGATATCACATAACTCCTTCACAACCTTAACTTCTATATGGTAGTTACCTTCATTAAGGGGACCCCAGTGTAGACCTTAATATAGTAGGATCCTTATTATAAGGAGCCCCAAAGAGGTACCCTTGATTTTGGGAAACCTTCAGCCCTAATCCCTAAATTCTAAACATCTCTATAACCCTATGTAACCCCTATATTACCCTATAGCCCCCTGACAAGGTGTCCCCAATTTTTTGGGAAACCTTGAACCCGAAATAGTAGTTTCCATTTTCTTTTCCATTATCCCTATATATCCCCAGTGTACTATAATCCTTGTTGAGGTCCCCTAATTTGCAGCCCTAAGCCCTAAACATTTCTATAACCCCTATATAACCCCTATATAACCCCTTTATAACCCCTTTATAACCGCTATAACCCGCTGAAAAGGTACGCCTAATTTTGGGAAACCCTTAATCCTAAATAGTTCATTTTCTTTCCATTATTCCTAAATAAGCTCTATAAACCCCGTAAAAGGTACCCCTAATTTTGGGAAACCCCTAAACCCTAAACCCTGAACCCTAAACCCTAAACCTATACTACAGGTACGGGCAAAGCAGCTGGAGATCATCCCAGGGTTTGGTTTCGAGTGCTCGGAGGCGAGGTTGAGGGTTTGGGAGTTAGGGTTCAGGGTTTAAGATTTAGGGTTTGAGGTTAAGGGTCTAGGGTTTTGGGTTTAGGGTTCAGGGTTTAGGTTTTAAGGTTCAGGGTTTAGGACGAGGCCAATGGGAAACTCGAAGCAGGAGTTTCTCAACATTACGCATTGGGTGTTTATTTCGCATGGAATACTTCGGCAAACTTAGGCATTTTGGGGTTCAGGGTCCAGCAGAGTCACCTGGAGGGCTCCACCGCCCCTCAGTCAGCTCGACAGAAACAGACTTAAACACCACTTGATGAAGAGCGCTTCGCCCACTTGCTGGAACAAAAGATGATCATGGTGACTGTGTGGGACTGCCCACAGCTTCTGCAATTGACGGGCTTTTAGCTTTTGAGAGAGGGTCCCCGGAGTAGAGAAGTGGGTTGAAGGTTTCTCAAATCAGGGTCAGGGTTCCTTCAGATTGTTTTGCTCGAAGTCGTATGGTATGTATGTACATAGGTACAAGCATAGGGCCTAAAGGTTAGAAGAAGCGTTTCTCAAAACACGCGTTTTTGGTGGGCATCCCTCTAGTAAGGGCTATCCGTATTTGGGCCCCTGGAACCCCTTCAGAAAGACCCATGGGTTCCACCTCCTCCCACAGTAATCCCTAAACAATCCTTGACAGAAGCTTCCGAATCCTGGTTCCAAACGTATCTGCCTCTTGGGAGAGCCCCTTGCATTCTACAAAATGCAAGCATCCTTTGTCACCAGGGTTGGCAATGGCAAATATGGCTAACCCAGATCAATGATTAATAAACCACCTCCCCATAATAGGGGTCATAATAAGGATCCTGATATTAAGGCCATTAAAAGGAGGGGTGTACTACTTAGGGTTCTGCGTTACTCCAAGTTTTGTCAGACTAGTGCAGTGCCTTCTTAGAAGGCTCCCCTTCCTGGAGGCTTCTTTGCAGCAACCTGTGTAGGGCCACCTTTGTTCTCCACAGAAGGGAAATCATGGGCCAAGAGACCGCGAAGTTGGCTGCTAGCCCGTAGCCTTAACCTCAGACCAGACATTTCTTGAACGAGAACATCTTAAACTCGGTCCCTCGCAAAGACCTTGACTACCAGGAAATTTATTGTAGTCCCCTGTGATGATTAATAAGCTAAACGTGAATAGTAGTTTCCACTACATTTTCCATTATCCCAGTATAGCCCGCATATAACTCCTATATAACCCCTATAGAAGCTCAGGAAACCGCATGGTATAGGTCTTGGAGCGAGGCTTCGATATTGTAGCTTGAGCAGCCTAGCGGGCTCCCGCAGGCCGGCGTAGTCAACATGCTGCAAGCCTTCAAGTCTTTGGAGGCAGACCCCGACATTCAGGCCGGCTGGACTCCTGTATCCTGTGGCAAGAGTGTACTTGCTGGAGACACGAGGGTCAAAAGAAGCGTTCAGTAGTCCAGCATCCTGAATGCTGATACAGGTGGCACCCCTTTCCCCTTGCCATCCCCCCTCCACAACACCCCCCCATGTGCCACCATGGAGCTTGAGGGTTCGCAAGCGGAAGCGGTTGCAGGAAGACGTTTTCGTAGATGGCAGATTGGGCTGCAAGGGAATTCCATTGCTGTTCCGCATTTGGACATTTGTGCATAGGTGATTGCCGGTAAGGATTTCTTTTGAGTCTTCGAAGCCTCGCTCCAAGACCTATACCATGCGGTTTACAGAGCTTATATAGGGGGTATATAGGAGTCATATAAGGGTTATATTGGGATAATGGAAAATAAAATGGAAACTACTATTTAGGTATAGTATATTGGGGTTATATAGGGAGAGTCCTGACATATGCGCCAGTATGAGTCAGGCAGTTCACATAGCAATGCAATGCTCAGGTCAACAACGTGGCTATGAAAGACTTGCTGTCCCTGGAGCAGCCCGAGATTTCAGTGTCACAGGCCACAACTAGGGCGAATCATGAGGGTGAGCAGCAGACTTCCGTAGCTTTTTGCTGGTGATCCGGCCACGGTATCGTGAAGCTGGCTGGATCGGCTCCTTCTCATTTTCCCTACTCCCCATTTCGCCCATCTAAGAAGAGATCCACAGCATGGTTACTGAAACTAGGACTGCTGTTGATACTGGCCCCACGTGCTTTCATCGCCTTGGCTATGAGGTTTAGATCTATTACCTGGGTAGGCCCCTGAAACATTTAATATTTTCCCTAATGGCTTTAATCAGGGACCCTATATACCAATATTTCTCAAAGGGCTTTAGGGGCCTTCCCGGTTACCATCCTGGGATCTCGCCCTTCCAGGCCAGAATGGTAGTTGAGCGCCCATGCACGAAGCACCGCAGCTGGGTCTGCTCTGGCTTATTAGAGGAATCTACAGCAGAGTAGTATTTTATTTGGGGATGCTGTGGTACCCAATATAGAGTAATTAAGATTATATCCTCCTTTTGGGGTACCGTATTTTATGTAAGGGATATAATCTTACTGGGTTTAACCACCAAATACAACGCTACTCAGCAGAGTCTATACAGGGTTTAGGATATTACGTGATGGAGAATCAAACGGAGAAGAATATGGCAAGTTACATGTCAATTGGGCTTATTTAGGGGCTCATCGAGAATTCCTCACATTATGGTTCTAGGTTTCTTGCGTATTAAAAGACGGTTATGGGTTACCTGAAACAGACCTCGGTATTTATTTAGGGCCCTGTATTGGAGTTTGGGTGTATAGTCCCCCTTAAGTAGATAGAATATGGGGTAGATGGGGATCTTATTATAATATACCCAAAACCATATTCTATCTACTTAAGGGGGACTATAGAGTTTAGTGTTTGGGCAGCCCCAAGCCCCAAGCCGTGTAAAGACCCCGGCGTTCAAATGATGATTGGTAGGTGCTACCTGTGAGGGTTCCAAGGAGTGCGAAGTCAGCAGATAGGAGGTGTATGGATGGCAGGGTACTGGGACATGCATATCTGTACATACATACATGCATACATGCATATATACATATATATATATCTATATCGCTTTTTGTCCAGCGATATCTTTTTTACACAGATTTCGGGGCCTCCCAGGGCTTCTCAGGGCCTCCCAAGGCCACCAAGGCCTCCCAAGGCCTTGTGGGGGGCCCCAACCAGACTCTTTCCAGGAGTCTATAGGTATACACTTGGGGTTCGTTCATTGGATTTTATCACCCACTTGGAGGGTCGGGGGGACTTACTAAGTAAGTGAATATCCACTATAACCCATATATTAAGCTTAACTATCTCCATTATCAACCTACTTACTAAGTCCCTTTGACCCTCCAAGCAGAAGCTGGCCCAGCTTTCGGGTCCTCAAAGCAGCTTCTCGGCTTTTCCAGGACCAGTGTTTTTGCGCATGTGCCACTTTTCCCAATATGCTACACCCCAGACGGTAGGGGTTTAGGGTTTAGGGTTACACCCCAAACCGAAGACCTCAAACCGTTAACCCCTTGTTGACATCAAGGCTGGTGTTTGCACAGGTTCTTTGATCCCCTGCTTCGACGCGTATGGGCCTTCTGCCATTAAGGACTTGTCTTCAACATGGCCTTGGCCAGTGTACATGGGTTTCCTTAGGAACCTAGGTGAGTGACCGCTTCTCCTTCTATCATAACTACACATCCAGGCTTATATGATAATTCCGCCACCCTCATTGCGGATCCCGAACCTTACAGCGTAGACTATTAAACCCCAAGCTACACTTCCAGCCCCGTTCGCTCACATATTCCTCGAGCCTTATTCCAATCATCTTGAATCCCTAACTCATATGAGTAAACCCTCGAGCCTAAATCCTAGACCCTAAACTCTAAACCATAAGCCCCTCAACACGCGCTAAACCTTAAGACCCTAAACCAAGTCCCAGATGCGCTCCAGGTATTATGGACATGCTGCGTGTCCAACTTATCGAGTTTAGCAAGGCCACGTTCCAACATGAGGCCAGGGTTTCTCAGAGTCAGAGCAGTCCTGCCAACAACATCCCTAAATCCTAAACCCTAAGCCTAAACCCTAAAGCCTAAAGCCCAAACCCTAAACCCTAAACCTTAAAGCCTAAACACTGAACCCTAAGCCCTGAATAGCATTTTCCATTCTCCCAATATTACCCCAATATAACCCCAATATTACCCCGATATAACCCTGAGATAACCCCAACATAACCCCAATATAATCCCCAGGTGGAAGAGCTGAAGCGCCAGGCACGGCCGGCGGACGCTGCGCAAGGCTTCTACCACCTCCCGGGTCGGGCGGAGCTCTGGCGTAGCGGAAGAAGGTGTTACCCTCCCCCAGACTAATATAGGGTTTAGGGTTTAGGGTTGAGGGATTAGGGTTTCAGAATTTAGGGATTAGGGTTTAGGGATTAGGGTTTAGGGTTTAGGGTTTCGGGATTAGGGTTCAGGGATTTGGGTTTGGGGTTTAGGGTCTAAACTCCTTACATGGGGGTTATGTAGGGGAATTTTTAGGGGGACTACTATAGAGGTTATTAAGGGGGATACTTGGAGTTTAGATTATCGCTCATATGAAGCCTGAAAAGGGCCCCGCTAAAAAGGACAGTAGTCTATATAGGGCTCCTTTTAAGATGACGTTAGTTTGGGAGGGTATTGTTTAGTGTCGCAGGTGGTAGGGGAGTGAATTTAGGTACTAGTACTAGTACAAGGGCATGTTTTGAAAATAGTGGTAGGAAGAGGAGGTAGGGTGGGGTTGAGTGGCGGTGGCATGAGTGACGAATGTGCGAACAGTAGTACTGCCCAGAGCATTGCCAACAGTAGGGGGAAGAACACACACGTAGCACTGTAGCGGTATTGCTCTAAGGTTGAGGCGGACAACAAGCTGTTCCTGTGGCTCACCTTTCAGGTTGCCTCGCCCTCGTACCAGTCGCCGCGTGGCCCGTTCAACGTTCGCAATCTAAGGTCCCTGAGGTGACGCCGTCGGGATGGCTCGAGGGGACGCGTTGGCAGGGCATGCCCTACCACGTAACCCTCTGCCTCCCAGACGACTGGAGCTTGCTGCCGGCAGCCAGTCTCGGGCATGCTTCGGCTGCCTGTTTGATTAGTTCGACGCTCAGGCCTTTGAATCCGGCGTCCTCGACATTGACTTCACGGTCAAGCTGAAGAAGATCTCGAAGGCCAAGGACCATCGCGTGTCGGAGTTGTGATAGCTTCCCTTGGAAGGATCGCGCGCGGACCGCCTACGAAGTGGTAGGCGGTACTCTTCTAGATGTAATTAATGAGGCAGCCACAAAGCTGGGCGTAAGTCCTCGAGGCGAATGGCATGTGTCACTTTAAGAACATTCAAAAGCACCGTCATGTGCGCACCCATTTTTTGTTTTTCGCCCGACAAAGGCGTCCTCTGGTGTTGTTCGACTGCCGTTCGTAGGGCTTTCTGTTGAGCACTGTGTTCTTCCCGGGAACCTTTATGGCTAAACTACCTCTCTTTGCCCTTCTAATTATCTGCTCATATGGCTGACCCTTGGCATTCAAATTCTCCACTGTTGCGGTTAGAGAATCCACTTTACCCTTCAGACTCTTGAAAGAGGATACAGAGCACTTTGTTATACAGACACACTTTTGTAACGCAAATGGGCTTGACTAGCAAAGCCACTTCGAAGGCCGCAGGTCCCCGTGTGAAGAAGTTCACACGTGTCCACCTCGGGTTTGAACCCTTCAAAGCCAGGCCAATTTGATATTGGAATAAGTTCCCGAGCGACCGTGCTTGGCTTGAACCCCCCAAAACCAGCCCCAAATCCTCCCCTTAATAACTTCCCAGGCGTGAAATGAAGTTATCTAACCGTAACACGAAGTTCTTTTTAGGCTGAGACTGAACTTATCTCATCCCACAAGCAAGAAGATTACGAGCGAAGCCGATGGATGTGGACACATTCGCAATTTGCCTCTCACTAGCATTGCTGCCACGCATCTCTCCGGAGCTGCTTGCTGGACAAAGACAGGCCGAAATAGTTTAGATCCCACTCCAATCATGTCCATCGAAGCCTCGAAGCTGTGCGCAGGCCAGGGCTAACCGTATTGAAGAACTAAGAAAATTCACAAAGCACTGAAGGACTCTCCGATCGAGAGCTGGAGACAATGCTGAAGGCCGTGGCGACAGAGGCGATGAAACGTGACTTTCGAGCAGGCAGAATCCTAGTATTCACGTGGTTCTTGCATTCATCTTTAATGCGAGGCACTCGCGCCGTGCAAGGACATGAGCGAGGTCCGGTGGGGGCGCTGCGGGCTGCCTACTTTGCAGCACGGTCGAAAGCCCCCTTAACCCAGGGATCCTTCTATACCTACCATATACATTATATGTGCCCTTAAGGGCCTCTAGGATCTTCCTAAAAGGGCTAAGGGCCCATATTAAGGGCCCGTACTTCTAACCTTTCAATTGCGGTAGTGTTAGAATTGACGGTTGCTTGGGCAAGGTTTTGGGACTCTGGGTCCCTTTTGCCAAGTTTTCGCTTGTAAACCCAAGACTCAAGGGGCTATGTAGGGGTCATGTTGAGGGGTTATGTAGGGGTTATATTAGGGTTATATAGGGGTTATATTGGGGTTATATAGGGGTTTTATAGGGGTTATATTAGGGTTATATAGGGGCTATCTTAGGGCTACAGTGGGGTAATGGAAAAGAAAATGGAAACTACTATAAGACTCAGGACCCCAGAGCCTCCCAACATAAAAAACCCTCGAAGCACCTTGAAGCTTGGCACACCAAAACCCAAGAACAGTGAAGTCCTGAAGCCAATACGCTCCAAATCATCAACGCCAATTCCTTCAAACTCCACACCCAGCAGCCTCACAAAACCCTGAACATGTGAAGAGCACTAAAGGAACTGGCTCTCCTTGTCCAGCAGGTCCGTGGGGGTGTAGGGTTTGCCACCCGGAGTCAGGGCTCAGGGTTTGGAATTCAGGGTGAAAAGCTGGGGTGGCGCAGGTGTTCAAGAGGGGTCGGAGATGGTGTTGTGTCTTTCATGGGCTAGGGTTCAGGATTCGCTGCATCTAGTCTAGACAACTTCCCATATGCCTTCGAATACAGGTCTTACTGGCTTTAAGAAGCCAACAGAAGGTATATCTCGATTGCCTTCATCCCTCCACCTTGGAGTGCAAAGGCGCTTTGGACCTGGGGTAGCCAATGCCCTGCTGGTGCTTAAGGGGGAGTGGGGGAGTGAACAGAAGTACCATCATAGGGATTATACAGGGGTGATTACAAGGATCCACTCCCCCACGTTCCCTTAAGTTCCAATAAGTTGCAGCCTTCGGAAGATTTGCGACAGTACGTTTTTTTTTCGAGGGGTTCCTACACGGTAGAAATTATGGTAGTAAGGGCATTGTAAGGGAAACCCCTATTGAATACTTTCACCCTTACGCCAAGACCACGCAAGCCCTAGGCTTAGCAACCCAAGTCCTGCACCCTGGACCCTGCTCCTTGCCATGGCAAACCCTAAACTCTAACTAAACCCTTAAATCCTAAACCCTTTACCTCTAAACCCTTAAACCCTAACCCCTTAATCCTGAAACCCCGAATCCTTAAACCCTTAGATCCTAAACCCTAATGCAGGTCTTGCTTCCTCAGTATGGCTTTGAAGCATCCAAGGAGGGTGTGCAGGAGCCAGCGTCGGCTCATCAGGGTTTGGGGGGGGGAGATTCAGTTTTAGGTTGAGGGTTTCAGGTTTTAGGGTTTAGGGCCTAGGTTTCAGTGTTTAGGGTTTAGTGCTGAATGTTTAGGGCGGCTCTGGCTTGAGGGTTGGGGGCTCAGGGCTCTGCCAGAGTGAGGCTTCTGAGAGTCTCAGAGTTGTGTGTTTGACTTTTTGATTCAACCCTAAACCCTGAATGATAGTTTCCATTTCCTTTTCCATTACAGTATCCCTATATAACCCCTTAAGACCTAAACGCTTTGTGATTCAGGAGGTAGGGGCAACCTTCCCGCAATTGCGGGATGGCGGATTATACGACGACTTCAGTACTCTGACTGCATGCGCAGGGCACTTCACGGTGAGAAATACGTGTATGGTGTTCAGGGTTGAGAGTTTAGCCATGAAAACAGAAGTTCTTGCCGGAGGCTCCTTCCATATATATGGCGTGAACTCTGATACACCCAAGTCAACTTCCACGTCGCCGAAACTGTCGGCACGCATGTCTAGCAAACTTTGGCGAAAACATCGGCACAGGCTCGCGAAGCTCTAGGAATGTTGGTTGTCAGGCTGAAGTGTACTGAAGTTGTACACTCTCAGGTTTGGTGACCTGGACACTTGACAGAGGCATCTGGGGAGGCATAGTTCCATCTAGGGAAATAACCCCTACAGAATCCCTAGTGTCGGCTCATCTTACGGCCCCGCAGCCCCATCCACGGAATCATCCTCTCCTGGTACATGAGTCATTCTCATCATTGGCGTCATTAATCAGCATCATTTGCTGCTCTCTTGCTATATCATGGCAAAGCCTGTCAATGGGTCCTCGGTCGCTGTCACCCAAAACTTTGAATTGCGCAGGCTAAGCTTGAACCTTAAGCCCTAAGCCAAAATCCTGAATCCCCCAGCACCTAGACCTATAGGCCCCCTTAAGTAGACAGAATATGTCTTTGGGTATATTATAACAAGATCCACACATACCCCAGATTCGATCTACTTAAGGGGGACGTTATATCCAACCTTAAACCCTAAATTCTAAATAGTAATTTCCATTTTCTTTCCATCATCCTTGTAGTACCCTAAACCTAAACCCTAAACCCATACAACAGACCTAAACCACTACCTGATACTCTAAACTTTCCCTGGACGCTAAATTTCTCAACCCCTGGACCGCAAGACCGTCGACCCAGAGAGCGCAATACCCCGGTTTAGGGTTTAGGGGTTTAGGGTTTAGGGTTTAAGGTTTAGGGGAATATTTAGGTATAATGGAAAAGAACAGGGAACAGGGAACAGGGAATCTACCGTTTTGGGTTCAGGGTTTACGGGACTTCATGTCCCCTTAGTTAAGGATTATACCCAGGAATATTTCGGCATTCTGTAGGGCTTATATATGGATTATATGGGGTTATATAGGGATTATATGAGGAATATACCCTACATGTTACTAGGGTCCCTAATGTGATTTAAGCTATATTTCTTAAGTAAGGGGTAATGGGCTCCTTGGTAAGTGGAGGACATGATAAGACACTGCGCGCCCTTCGTTCGGGATCCGGACGTTGCGGGACTCCTGGACCGCTTGAATGAGAGGCTTGGGGGGCTGGGTCACATTTCACAGGATTATTGAGGTTA